TGAACCACTCCCCGTGCTCCCTCCACACTGTACAGTGACTGTGTGTGCTCCAGGTCAGTCGGCTGTTCCACTCACCGTGCTTTCGACTACTCCTCTTGCTACATTTTGCAGTGAGTGTGGGTGCTGTTGATTTCTGATGCCTTGGTGTTTCCATCTACTTCCCACGTGGCTGCAAATAGTGCGTGAATCTTATTGTTGCTCATCCCACTAGCTTGCATTTGGTAGGTTTGGGCCATTCTGCTCTGTTTTCATGGCATTATTTGAAGAGATGTAAAAATGGTGTTTATGGTGTTTTAATGATGTTTATGTAAGAAATGGCTATTTCTTACAAAGTTATGCTTTTAAAGACTTTTTTTTTAAAAAACAAAAATTGACCAGTTACATTTTTGATTAAGAAAAGTAACAAAATTATTACAATGATTTCTTGAATTTGTAAAATGGTTTGTCTGTTTCTGCCAGTAGTTGAGGGTTGTCTTCTCTGTTCCTCTCATTTATGTTGACTGCAATGTTGTCTGTTGTTTTAGATTATAAACGAAGAATAAGAACCTGAGTGGTACATGCCGTGTGTCCACATAAGAGATCTTGTGTGTGTGGTTGTTTTAAACAAGCCATCTTTCTCTCAGTCCTGAGTGTCCTTGGAGCTTATCTCCTCTGCTCGGCAGACTGTATTCAGTGTCAGGCTGTTGTTTAATTGGACTTCGTAATGGAACTTTCAAACCAGACCTTAGAATTTCCTTATTCAGAAGAAATTTCATTAAAAACAGAAAAACAGAGGCTTCTGATAGCTTGTGCAGGGGATTATTTCAGGAATTCCCTGAAGTTGTATGTAGAGAGCCACATACAAGGGCTGCATAAAGGGCAAAAGCAGAAAGCGGAGAGACCCTCTCGTGCGTCATGGCGCAGGCGTCCTAGTCTGGCTGTGTAAGCACCTCTGTCGTCTTAGATCATGGATTCCTATACCAGACAGGCTCTGGAGCAGCCTCGCTTCTCTTAGGTCAGTCACTCTGACTTTATGTGGCTGGATCAGTGGGTCTAACTTCAGCGTGCATGAGAACTCCTGAGGCTGAGCTCCACAGTACGTATGTACGAGGAGTGAGCAGAGCCAACAGAATATAGAACCCCCTGGAGGTAATTATAGCATGTCATTGTTGAATTTTAGAGATATTAATATTAGAATATTAATCTATATAATTCTAAATTATATAGCCTGGAGATAATTATAGCATGTTATTGTTGAATTTTAGAGATATTAATATTAGAATATTAACATATATAATTCTAAATTATATAGCCTGGAGATAATTATAGAATATTATTGTTGAATATTAGAGATATAAATAGAAAACACCACCTTTAACAGTGAACATTCCTGTGAAGGTAACACAGTTATTCCTAAATCAGTTATTGCATATCTAGTCAAATCTCAGTGAAAGTTTTTGTGAAAAGCTAAGATCAACTGGAAATTTGTCAGGAAAGTCAGAGGCCCAAGAGTGCACAATCTTTCGGAGAGCAAGGTGAGGGTCTCTTGGCTACCCCGATAATACAGCACAGAAACAGAGACCTGTAGTGTGAGATACAGGTGAACAGAAAGGTCAGTGCAGTGAGTTGAGCAGGGTCACCCTAGAGGGGTGTAAAATGGGTAGTGGAGGGAGGGAGGGTCATGATTGGTAAGAACTGATGGAATGCTCTGTGACTATATCTGATTGTTAATAATTATATGGAGATTCAAATTGTGTTTCTAACCTCACGCTATCTACAAAAAAAGTTCAAATAAATTGTATGTGAAAACAAGTATCACTTTTAGTAGAAGATGTAAGAATTAATGGAGTACTTGGATGCATTTACAAGTGAATAAAGTATGCCTGTGTAAATCTTAGAAGTATAGCATTATGTCCCAAAGCAAATTGTGCAGATTTAGCAAAACAGTACTCAGGACATTAGAAGCACGGGCCAGTGCACACGCTGCAGAGCCTGAGTACACTAAACTCACCATGGTGTTCGTGTCCTGAGGTGCTAGAGGAATGTGACTAGAGGAATGTGACTACCGCTGTGTCTGACATTTTATTATTTTGAAATAAAAGTGTTTGTACATACTGTATAATGAACTGTTAACACTGAGTGAATACCAAACAATGAGGAACTGGTTGAATAAATTGCAGCAACATGGGCTGGAGAGATGGCTTAGTGGTTAAGAGCACTGGCTGCTCTTCCAGAGGACCTAGGTTCAATTCCCAGCACTCACATGGCTGCTCAAAACTGTCTGTAACTCCAGTTCCAGGGGTTCCCACACCCTCACACAGACAAAATACCAATGCATACATAAAATAAAAATTAATAAATTATTTTAAAAATTGCAGCAACATATTATGATATATTATCCACCATTCAAAAGAATGAGTTAAAGACAAGTCATAGACATATGAAGAGATTTTAAAGAAATAATGCCTAGGAAAACAAGATGGGTAGTCATATCATTTGTTTATAATACGGTGAAGAATAGAGTATAGAAGTCTGTGGTATGTGTTTGTGTCTGGTCAGATGAACAGTAGACTGTGCAGGGGTCCATCTGGGCTGTGTGAGGTGATAGCAGCCATCCAGTTATGGGAGTCAGAAAAGATGATGAGGGAGGGAGTCAGGAGAAATGGGAAATGAGCTATCCAATATAGATGATGGGATTTTGTTTATTTATGAAAGCTTCTATTCATATTTTAAAAAGGTTACTTAGCTACGTAAGAGTGAGAACTGACCTGAGGAGAATTGACTGACTATAGTTGACTGGTGGCTGGGATGAAACTGGACTTAGAACAAAGCTAGCCAGGCAGAGGTGCTCCCCAAAGAGTGAACTACTCAATGTTTTGTTTGCTAGAATTTCTAAACAATTCATGTGATCAAATTAAAATGCTTTTTAAATTTTCTCCATTAATATGTAGAGTTCAGTTGCCTCTGATTTCAGCGAGTTCTTTTTGATAATCAATATGAAGTAGTTAGTGTGCTAGGTGTTATAAAATGCCAGTAGATAAAATACCAGGAGCAGCTGAGATACTTTATGAAATGAGAATGCTTTGCAGATGAAGTTGGAGGCTTATTCTCACCCTGTTCTCAACATGTGCTGAAGACAATAAGGGATGAGTCTGCCTTTTGTTGTTGTTGTTCAAGACTGATGCCTTAATATATATAATTCAAGATAATGGGTAATTCTTTGAAATTTCAATTTTTTCTTCTCAGTACGCGGGATGACAGAATTCGAGTAGAAAGGATGGATAACACTTATTTTGAATACAGCCATGCTTTCCAGGCAGTTACCGAGTTTTATGCCAAAGAGGTGGTTGACAGCAGGGGTGAGTATTTTATTCACGTTAGCCAGACATATGTCCTCAATTGCCCTGACACCGGATGTGGATACAGGCATGAGTGTGGCTTTCAGTGTAATGACAAGTAGGAAGTGAGTAGAAATATGTGGGAGCATCCGAGGGCAAACCTCCTGTTCGTGGGCTCATCTAGAAGGCTGCTGCAGCTGAGCCTGCTTGGCACATGGTTGTTCACCAGGCACTGAGGAGGCTGAGGTGAGGAGGAAGGTTTCTAGTGCCAGCCTCACCTGGTTTAGTGGACAAAACCCAGTCTCATCAGAAAAGAGCAAAATAAAACAGCCACAGCAAGAAAAACACCCTAATAACACGTGGACACCACTGTAATATTTCCCTTTTCACTCGTGACTGTTCCGTCACCTGCTGGCCCGTTTAGACAAATGCTTTTTAATGGAGTTAAAATGGAGTTAATGGTGTAGTTGGCCAACCCTTCTTTCTCCATCTTCAAAGATGACTTGTGCAATTGCTTTAAAGAGTGTTTGGTAAATATTCTGATAAAATCTAGCATTTTGAAAGGGTGGTTAGCAGAATTATAGTGCCAGCACATTAGTGAGCAGACTCAGTATGTGTGGTAACCATTACATGTTTAATTCCCATCTGCTGTCACATGTAGGGTGTGGTGTTGTGTGACCATTGCATGGTTAATTCCCATCTGCTGTCACACATTAGGGTGTGATGTTGTGTGACCATTACATGGTTAATTCCCATCTGTCACATAGTAGGGTGTGGTGTTGTGTGACCATTGCATGGTTAATTCCCATCTGCTGTCACATGTAGGGTGTGGTGTTGTGTGACCATT